AGAGAGAGAGAGATAGGTGCTTTTGTAGAAGAAAAACTCTTCTCTTTGTACAATATTTATGAGAGAGGCTGATGGAGTCCAAAGTTAGAATTTATTTTTACTGAATGTAAACAGCTGAATTAACAATACCTGTATTTTTAAATTAAAAAGGTCTTTACTTTTTTTGGTGGTCTCCTGTTTTGAGTGGAAAGGCCTTCGATGAGAGGCTCATGGCATTGGCTTGGAAGGCCCCAGTGACATCACCGGAACACATCCAGCTCCCCTTGCAGCACCTGGCTCAATTGCCCCCCTTCCATTCAGTACTGGGCAGACCCAAGAATGACCCTAAGCAGAGTGCAGGCTTGACAATCAGAAAACAAACAAAAGAGAAAACATGTTTCACAGATCAGCCCAGTCATCTGAGCACATGAACTCATAGCAAACCCAGAGGAGAGCTTCCCGTGTCTGAAAACCGGAACCAGGAACGACTTCGGAGCAATTTGACTGTCAGCCTTGTTCACCTTCCACTGGTTGGCGGCGGGCTGGATTTTAGTACCCGGTGGAGATGGCCTGTGATCTTGCTCCAAATACCTGAGTAAACTTCTAAATCACCGGTGCAATCACTTGGCCTAATTTCCACAGTCATCAATCAGTCACTCTCTGTTTATTCAGCATTGGCCTGAGGACTGTGGAGAAAGGAGGCAGATATAAAATACCCTGGTCCTTGAGAGGCTTTCTGTTAAGTTGGCATGACAAAGAGGAGAAACAAAACCGAATAAAATTGAGCACAGACCTTCTATCTTTCTTTTACTTCGTTTCTCCGTGAGACGTGACTGGAGCCGATCCTTGCTAAAGAGAAATCGCTGAACGAAGTGACAAGATGCATTGTGGACTTCAGAAATACAGAAGAGAAAGAAAATCAACACAGCAACACAGCTGGTTGCCACCGAGTTTATTCTAACTCATAATCATCGTCTTGGTGTTCAGTAGACCTGCTTCACTGGACCTCAAGGCTGTCAACTTTCTGAAGCAAATCGCTGGCCTAGGCCTGTGTTCAAACCAGCAACCTTTCAATTAGTGTCGAATGTTTAAGCATACATGTCACCCAGGGCTCCTGGGCAGTGAGAAGGAGCCAGGCTTGGGGTGTTCAGGGAGGGTCTCCTGGGAGAAGATGTTAGCAGGGCTTTGAAGAAGTCGGTCTCCATCGACAACGAAAAGAGAGGGACTTTCAGACCCAAACACAAATACACACAAACGAAAATTCCTATAAACCAATCTTCTCAGTCTTATGAATATTTGCCAACATCGTTAACTCTTAAAATTTGGTAGAGACAAAAACTATTAGATGCAGTTCCTGGATCAGGAATTAAAATTGATCATTTAAGTGGAAGAGATTTTTGTTTTTCATAATCTCCTCTTTGTCTGCATAGTGCCAACACTTGGTTGCATCTGCCGGGATAGCCTTTGCTCTGTTTACTTTAAAGAATAAGCCACTGTTTGATTTGGTTCCTCATTTTTAATATGTAAACCCTGGTCTCTTATACTTCATTCCAGGCAGGGGGAAAAAACAAAAACAAGACCCTTTAAATATCAGAGCAGCGGCTACTTACAGATGCACATCGCTTCAATATTTTATATAACAGTCACGTAGGAAAATGCCCAAGAACTTTCCTACCCTAACAGCCTTGATTTGGCAAGTGGACCTCACCCGAATCAATCAATCACTTTTTATGTGGCTGACAATTCCTCGCAACCCCCCACCACCACCCTCGCCCACGTCGCTGGATTGCATCAGAGTATGTGTTTATTTCAAAAGGTGGTTCACCTGTTCCACAGTTCAAAGGGGCTGTTTTGTTCTCTTAAAGGGTCACCGTGATGCTATACGAAGTCATAGCTAAGCAAGAAGCATTTAAAACAAAAATGGGGTAAATAAAACGCAGGGGAATTTCTAGGAGTACAAACTACAAACAACAGAAAACGAAGACCAAGTTGAGAACCTCACCCTGAGGTTGAAACCCCAGCAAGCAGAACCTTCGGGAACACGAGATGGACGGCCTATGAGACTTAACAATCACCGCTGCCCGAAAGGCGTCATGCACTTAATCGTACTCCTGGTCTCCATCAGCGACATATTCCAGGTGCGCGTCTGATTTGTGCTGATCCACGCTAGCTGAGCATTGGAGATTTCTATCGGTGTTAGAGGCCAATGGAATCAGGAATTTCAGTCTGCGGTGGGCATTACTGGATGAGCCAGGATGTGGCCTGTCTAACTTTGTGAGCACCGGGTCAAGGGGGGTTACTTCTGGAGGATAGAGCTTCCATCTTCTCTATTTTATCCAGATAATGCCATTCTCACAGCGGGGGTGCTTCCAAAAATATACTACGTTCACTGGACATAATGATTCCATTTGAAGGAAGCACTGTTTGACCGATCATATGGTGACATTCCGATAAAAGATGCTGTTGAAGTTTGGTGTCACCACATTACCATCTGTATGCACATGGGATTTTTAGGGCTATACTAGTTTTGCTTCCCCAGATGTCTGAGCTGTAGCGCTACTGAAATTCACGAAGGATGGGTAACTGACGCCTGGCCCTTATGTGGTCTGTGCTATCAAGTAGAAGGGCTGCGTGTTGGTCTGCGAACTGCATGGTCAGCCAAAAAGAGCTCAACTCACCGCCATGGAACCCATCCCGACTCCTAGCCAGAGCCACCCCTCTGTGGGTTTCCAAGACTCTAAGTCCTGATGGAAGCAGAAAGCCAAGTCTATGGAGCTGCTGGTGGTTTTGAACTGCTAGCCTTGCAGATCACAGCGCAACGCATAGCCAGGGCGCCCATAACTGCAAGGTCAGTCATTGGAAACCACTAATGGCTCTGTGGGAGAAATATGAGGCATTCTATTCCCATAAAGAGTTACGGTCTCAAACAGATAGGACGTTTCTACTCTGTCCTCTAGGATCGCTGTGAATCCTAATTGACTTGAAGGCAGCAAGTTTGACGAGATTTTGGATAACACAGAAATGTGTATTTGAATTAACTCTCCTACTTATTGTCAAATAAGACCCCTCTGGGTCTTTCCTTAAATGTAAAGCTGAGGACATTAGCTACCTTCGAGATTTTGTAACCATTACATGACTTAATGCCCATGGAAGGGTTCAGTGCATTGCCTGGCCATGAGAGGCCTGTGGGGGTACTCATCCATTCCCCATCCCTGTCGAAAGCTCCCAGTCAGCTCTTGGCGCCTCCACGGTTTGGTAGTGACAAACAGAAGCTCCGATAGGTGTGTGACCTGACCTAGATTGAATCAGCAGGTGTGCTAGTGTTGGGAGAAAAATCCAGGCATCTCTGTTTTCTGTGTTTATCCACTAACTACTGTCCT